CCGTCACTCACACAGAAGAGAGGACTTTGTTGGCAAAGGTAAGCTTCCTGTAGATGAACTCCTTCTTTTCATAGTTGAAAGTATGGCCATCGTCTATGTAGAGCTCACCGTCTGCAGTTCTCTATCAAAATAAATAATGCATTAAATAAATGGTTAAAACCTGTCATTAACATCTCAACATTACTTAGCACTGTAGCAACAGAGGATGTGCAGTTCAGTTACCTGGAGATTAAGAGCCACATAGAGAGTGTAGGGGTCATGCTCCATGCAGGTGGAGGACCTGCGGACTCTAAGCTTCCTGGGAATTATGGAACCGCCGCGCTGGAAAACTGGGATCTAACAACAAAACACCAAGGCTACTAATGAGAAATGTGAGAAAGAATACACTGAGCTTAAAAAAAAAGTTAAGCTGAGAGTTTGACACTTACAGAGCTCATGGTGACAGGAATGTAAAGGTTTTGGGCTCCGTTGTGTTTCTGGAAGGTGTGGACATCGAACCAGACCTGATAACACACGTTCACACACATTAAGATACGCCCGTCTGAAAAGATCAAAGATACCCGTTACATGTGTCAAAATAAAAGCCTCCGTTTCTTCCTCTTACCTCATCTTTGCCGGGCAGGTAGGCAGTGACTCCTCTGGCTCCCTCCTCAACAACTGGGTGCACCAGCAAGTCTCGTCCTGAGGCAGAATTAAAATGACGTCAGGGGAAGTGGCAACCATTTCAAAACATGCCTGCCTGACTGGAACAACTGGATTCAGGGTTTTATTCTCATTTGTCATATTGACAAAGTGAAGCACCACCACACAGACAGGCACAGCTGCACAGATTTTCTAATTCAAGTGTCTGAACATTGTAAGTCAATTTAAACCGAGATAACAGGTATTTTTGGCCACCTGATGGCAGCAGAAGCAAGTTGTAGATAACTCTATAACATAAATAATAGTGTACCCCCACTATACAACCTGTACTTCCAAAACACGATTTATAGAGAAGGGAAAACAGTGACCCAAAGCAGCAAGTTTGTCAGCTGGAAAGAAACAAACTGAGGGAAGCTACATAGTAGGAGGTTATATTTTAGCCAAAATCATGTTCACATGCATGTCGACTTGTGACTCCCCCTCTGTCAGCTCTGTCACCTTGTTGCACTTCCTGTCATTTGATGTGGTGTTGAACAGTCTTGTGTTGCTTGTAGTCCTAAGTGTGGGTTTAAAGTGCCATTTGGCACTTTAAACCCACCTAGAGCACCACACTCAAATCACACATCACGACTAGGGCTGTGCGATATGACCAAAATCTCATATCCCGATATAAGAATTCTATCATCCCGATAACGATATAAATCACAAAAACATTTTCTGTAAGTTCTGTGAATCTCGGGAAGCTCGTCTTGCGGGAAGTGTTTCCAGCTGCGCGTCATGTAGCTGGAGTCGAGTGTTTTAAC